CTGACACTGCTCCATTGTGAGGGTTCTCCTGCCTTCCACCAGGGTGCCTGTATCTGGGCAGTGGTGTCCGTGGTGCAAGTGGCTGTCGAAGAGCCCTGTGTTGCAAGTGTTGGAAGAGCAGAGCTGTGTAGGACTGCAAGGCTAGTTTCTCAGCAGCAGCCACCTCATGTCAGCTGTAGGGGATCCCTCTGCAGTTACCTCGGTGACCTGGAACCCCTCTACTCACCAGAGCATTTCTGGGCCAGCTGGGGTGGGTGGGGTGTTGATTTGGTGCATGAAAGCATGAGTGTGTCTAGTCCCAGGAAGCTCGGCTGGGTTTGGTCTCTGTGAGCCCCTTCTGAGGGGTGGACTTGCTGGGAGCAGGAGGCTGTGATGTTTGGCTCCGTAGAAGCAGAAAGCTTTGATCAGTCTGGGATTCTCTGGTGGGAGATTGTGTTAAGGGCACTGATGAGGCAGTTGGTGGCCAGGTGTTTTCCTTGTGCCTGGTTTTACTTAGTAGTAGAGCTTACCTAGAGAGACCAGTGCCCCGAAGGAGTGTTATTTTCTTTTCAAGCTCTTAGCTTTGGTTGTGTAAAGAGTTCCTTTGTGATTGCTGTGGATGTAAAAAACTTTTTTAAAAAAATCCTTCTTGGTGCTTTGAATGTTATATATGAACCTAGTTGAAGTAGATGCATACGCAGCTCTGCGCTGATTTGGAATAAAGGCAGGAACAGTGTTGATGAAGGCTGTGAGTAGAATCTCGTGTTTTAACATCTCCCTCTTTTCTAGGAGGAGCACTTGGTGGAGTTCTTGGTGCCTGGATGACCACTGGACAGTTCAGGCCAGTCCCTCAGATTTTACTGGAATTGCCTCGTGCTGAGCAGCAGAAACTCTACAAGGAAGCTGTTGCTGTTCTCGGGCACTTGGACTGGACTGATTTTGCTCAGCTGATTCTTCTTGTAATGGGAAATGCTAGTCTCAGGCGGAAGCTGACAGGAGTGCTGATAAATTACCTCAGCAAACAGCTAAATGCGAAGATACAGTATAGAGAATAAGCCTTGCCAAAACAGGCTTTTTACAGTGTAATTAATTTTACTTTGACAATTGTGATTCTTCAGCCTAGTAATTATTAGTTATCAGTACTAATTATGAATATAGGTGTATCTAAGTATTGTTTGGGGGTTGGATTTTTGGTGGTCCTTTTTTTTGTGAGGATAGTGTTATATTACTGCATTCTCCTGACACTGACTTGCTGTGTAATTTCAAAGTATTCTCCACTAAGACTGAATTCAAAATCACTGAAGGGAATTAATGTTGCTTTTATGGTAATTTATGGCTTGTTAAAATTTTAAAAGTTATTGTGTTTTATTTAGGAGATTTAATCCTGTCTGTGTAAGTGCTTTAAATTTTGTCTGTGAATGGCATATAGGTGCCAAAGTAGCCAGGGCAGTGTCAGCAGATTTGATGCTAACATTCAAGTTTTGCTTTCCGTGTTCAGTGCACTAGTGTTCTCCTTGTTACTGACAGCTACAGGACTGTCCTCTAGCTCCTCTGTGCCCAGCTGAAGAGGAATCATTTTACTGAGTGCCAAAACCTCTTGCATTTTTCAAAAGTACCTGGGCTCATTTCCACTCGAGGGAGCAGAAAGAGCATTTTGAGCCAGTCCAGTTTCCCAGACCAGCACACCCTGGGGTTGGGCAGTGCCCCAGCTGGTGTGCAGCAGGGATGGATGGCTGCACAGTCCTGTGTCCTTTGGGCTGTGACACCTTCAGGCAGAGGTTGAGCAAGGAACCCCTTCCGGCAACTGGTATCCATGCGTCATGTTTAGGAGCCTTTCAGGAGGAGGTGACCATGCAGAATCCCTAGCCTGCAGATGTTTATTCAAAGTGAGCATTCAAGCTACCACTCTTCCTAGTCACATGGGTTTGCAAATTTTAATGAATCCCTGGTAAGGCATTTATTTAGCTCAAAGAAAGAAAAAGCCCAAACCATCAGGAAATGCCCCATTAATGCACTGGAAATAGAATCAGGCTGGAAGACTCCAGGCTGGACTGTAACAGCAGCTTGTGATGTAAAATCCATGTGTTAGGAAGCCAAGAGCGCCAGGCTGTAATCCCAGTGCTGAGCTCCCCACTTTGGCCAATGAAACTACAGGAATTGAGGGGAAAAGCTTTGTTTGAATTTCCCAGTGTTTTACTGGGTAGCCTCCTTTTACCATATGCATTAACAGTGTAAGGGTCGCTGGGTTACTTGGAGCTTCCATGCAAAACGTCTTCCTGAACCCCTGGCAGCCCTGGCCTTGCCGGGTCCCCCACCTGGCAGCAGCTGTGGCGCAATATCCTGACGCGGCCGGAGGGGCTCTAGAGCCAGGAGTAGCCCCGGGCGGCCAGCTGGCCGCAGGAGAGCTCTGCCAGCAGGCTCTGGAACACATACGTGGCAGCGGGCATGTAAGAAGACTCTGAAAGCACAAGTGTCCACATGCACCTCCTCAGCTCCAAACCACCAGGTACGGTGTGTGCATGTGATGTGAGTCACCCTTATTCTTTTATTCACGGGAGTGTTGCAGCTTCTGCATCCTTGACTCATCTCCGTACCCACCTCCTGTAAGGAATGGGGATATACCAGTTGCTGGAAGGCCCGTGATTCTAGACAGGACACCCGCTACAGCATGCACAGAAAAAAGGGACTGGGTTGGAGCTGTTGGTTGGTTGGTTTGGTTTTGGGGGTTTGTTTGGGGTTTTATTTTTTTTTCCTTCTGTGATTAAGACAAGCTCTTGCTCAACAGCTTATTTGTTAGAGGCATGCCTGTCCTTCATTAGTGGATCAAAACAGTTCATAGCTTGCTCGGGGCCTTTAATAGTAAGACCTTTGGACACACAAGACAAAGTAAAGCTTATCTCTTAAAAGAACTAAGGAGTGGGTTCAAAACTGGAACACACTTCTGGAGTCAGTTACTAGGAAGAAACTGGGAGTTTTGCCTCAGGAGCAGGGAACTGCAGCACTTTCTATGGATGCAGATTCAGCAGCTGGGCTATTTTTGGCTTGTGAACAGTTCTAATGGCTGTTTATTTTTAAGGTCATTTTCTGTTTGCATAGCATGTACACCCTTCTGGTGGGTGGGAGGCTTTATGAAAACAATCACTGCTGCACGGTTACGAACAAAGCTTGGAGAGGGATGGAAAAAAAAGAACTCACTGTACTTACTGCTTTGAAACCCAAAAACATCTGCTTAGGTCATAAGGTTTGTTGACCCACTCTAAGCTATGCCCCCACTGGAAAAATAAGATTTCAATTAATACAGGCTACTGTAGGGGATTGCAAAAGACTTGGGAAAACTCAGTCAGATGATAACATGGTATAAATAGGCAGGAAGCATCAGATTTGGCAATTTTTTCTTCACTTGCGCTTACCTTCAAGCAGTGAATAGAGACGTAGAGCATTCACCCCGAGCTGAGGAGTCAGAACTCATGCTGGCTGGCCAGGCCTGACTCCCAGCTCTTGCTTAAGACTCTTGTTAAATAACAACATGCTTTATTGTCATGTTTTCCTGGCTTCTTCCTGTTGGCCGTATCTTTATTCACACACAGTCAAGTGATACAAATTCAATGGAACAGTGGTAGTTTACAAAAGACAGTAAGAATGATTACTTTGAACTGAAATTTAAAAAACCCTAAATCTGGCCATCTGGCAGGGAACGCACTGTTTGGAACAGGTCATGGTAAGGAAACAGTTTATAACATTGGCAGTGTACTCCTAGCCATGTTCCTTTTCCAGAGCATAAAATACACAATACAAAAATATACTAGAAGTATTAACAGAGTTTGTAGAAATGTCTGCTGCAAAACAATTGCTGTTGTCTGATTTTCAGTATATTTACTCTCACACTATATTATGATATATTATGACTTGAATAAACACAGTCTACTTCTAACTTAATTTGAACTTTAAAGTTGATCTCAAATGTAAAGTATTGGGCTTGGCTCCTAGAAGTACAGAAAGGACCTTAACTTTGGACTCATGAGACTGAGAGACATGAAGGTGAGCCCACAAGTGTGCATTCAGTGCCTTGGGCTCTGAAGTGGAAGTTGGTGTACTTCATAGGATTATAGTTTGGGCATTTTCCTGGATGTTTCAAGACTTAACAAGTCTTCCCTGGGCTATCCTTTTATTACCTGATAGGCTTGAGTTCATCAAGTTGCTGGTACTCTGGTGGAACTGCCTGGTTTTGAGATCTGGGGCTCTGCACCTAGTTAAGTCAACTGTGGCAAGTCCTTCCCTCCTTATCTGACTCCTCTGGATAATTTTACCTGTTCCTCTGCCCTCTCCTTCCTCCCTCCCAGCTCAGTACCACCATAATGGCCTGTTCCCATGTGAGCGAGCTGGATGCTCCAGTGCTTTGCTAAAGTTGCTCACGCTGAGACTGAGATGAGCTCCCTGCACTGGGAGCACCATTCCCTTAGTGTTTCCAAAGTTGAGAGACCCGGGTGTAGAAACAGAAGCCTGTGCCGACGGAGCCGTGCAGGGATGAGCGGCTGTCCCCTCCGGCTGGCACACCGGCAATGAGAATCTCTGACACAGATGTGATGCTCAGAGGAAATGGCATCTGGAGTGTCCCTTGCCGTGACAGAGGAATGCACCACTGGCAGGCAAGTGTGTTTAACTCCTGAACTTCTTGCTCCTTTTTCTCCCGAGAGCTGATCTCAAAGCGTTTGAGAAAAAGAAGTTAGTATTGCTTTGTTCTTGCAGATGGGAAGACTAAGGCACCTAAGGGTGAGCTTGTTTGGCCAAGGCTGATCTGCAGGTCTTTGCTGCAAAGAGAGGGGCTGTTGCTCTCTGTGTTCACGTCGTACAAGATGTTTTCAGAGGGGTAATCCCATCGCTGCTCCCCAGACATACACTACATAGAGGGGCCAAGATCCACCTTTCTAGGCATGGCCTCCAGAATAAAAATCAAGAAGGACGTGCACTGGAGGCCAGAAGTTGGCTTCCTAGTGTCTAAATGCCCCTGACTCCCAAGGAGGTCAGCTGTGGAACGATGACCAGGATACTTCTGAGGTATAAAACTCTGTGTCTGCTGGCCACTGCTCAGCTTTTTCGTCATCAGACTTGTCGCTGTCATCACCGCTGGAGGGTTCGTAGCCTGGGATGGCAGAGCGGATTGGCTCTGGCTGCCTGCAGTCCACCTCTGCCTCCTTCCTCTCCTCTGCCAGCAGCTGCCTGTAGCACAGGTTGCAGACCCTCAGGGGCTTGGGGGACAGCCGGGGCATCAGGAACCTCTGCCTGGAGCAGTCTGCGCAGACGACAAAGCCGCACTTGCGGCAGTGGTGCCTTCGGGTGAGCGTGGAGAACTTGGTCTGCGTGCAGCGCATGCAGATGTCTGTCGCCTTGTCTGGGATCCAGGGAGCTGCGTGCTCAGTGGAGGGCTGCCGGCCCGTCTTTGTCAGCAGGTGCCGGATGCACTCCTCCAGATGACTGATCCACTCCTTCCTCTCCGTGAGGGAGGCTGCGGAAACCACAAAGGATTTCTTGGAGGTTTTAATCATCCAGCGGTTCTTCATCTGCAAGGTGTCTGGCAACGTCTCCAAAGTAACATCTTCAAGGGGAATGATGTGCTGGGAATTGTACTTCCTTTTGTTGATGACTATACTGCCGTAAACGAGGATGTCATTGAAAAGGAAGAATATGCGAGGCTTTGGTTTCTTGCGGCATTCTTTGGTTAAAATCCCTTCTCCTAGAAGGACCCTTCCTGGCACAGCTAAGGGCTGTCCAGAAGCCCCAAAGCAGTTTTCCACAGCAGCAATGCGCTGGCTGTTGATCTCAGTATTTGCAAGATGGTCCACCATCTCTGGCTCACTCTGAAAAGAGGAAAACAAAGAGGAAAGTGGTGAAGCTGCAAACATCTGCACCAGGGTGAGGCTGAGTAGCGAACGCATGCACAGGTGAGACGCTCCTAATGCAACCTCAGGTTATGAGTAATCTCCTTACTACTCCTCACTTCAGCTTGTTATCTTCTTAAATTGATTTTAAAACTTTCTGACCTCACTTTGCAACAGGCCCATCTATACTGGGATAGTTACATTTGCAGCAATGGAAGCACATGGAGGCAGAGCCAGCTCTTCCATTACAGCTGCGCCTTTTACCAGTGTAACTGCGTGCCCATAGTAAAGGGAGACGGTTGGTGTGAACCTGCTCTTCTGCAGGGATAAACACGTGCTTAGGAGTTACCACACTGTGACAGCTGAAGGGTACCAGGACCCCACTCTCTTGATAATGGGTTCTAACTGATGCTGGGCTGGACACAGGCTCAGGAAGGAGATCTGTGGTCTCAGAAGCCTCCTGTTTCTGACTGCCCACCTGCTTTCTCAAGGATTTAGACACAGACACACCCCACAATGCCATCTTGGGCCAGAGCTGAGGCAGGAACAAAGCAAAGCAGTATCACTTGTTCCTGCTGGTCTTCCCTGTGTGACAAAAAGGTGGCGGGGGGGAAGGAAAGAAGAAAGCACCCGCTACGTGAATAAACCCACACAAACCAAGCCCTTCCTCCGTTACCCCAGTTATATGAGGGCTGCTGGTGCTTCTATTTAAAAGACAAGTCATTCTGAAAATAGTCTGATCTCTGCTAAAGGGGAAGTGGAAGGCAGCATGCTCATCCCTTCCCACACCTCTGCACGCTCATTATCATATAATCTGGGGTTTCGATAGTCTGTTGGGGCTTTTTTCTAATAGAAAAACCTAGATAAGGGTAATTCTGAAGTGAAAGCAAATATGTGTTATTGGTAGTTTGCAGTAAGGAAAGTGCTGCGTGTTGTAAGGTGAACTTTTCATTGCCCCTCTGTGCTGAAGGGTGCTGCCCCAAGGCCACTGACCACGGGAATGTGAGTCATTTTCCTCCTCGAGCGAGGTAGCTCAGGCATCATGAGGTAGCTCTGAAATCACAGGGGTTTCCTATGAACAAATCCTTGGATGAGGAGCTTTTGAGTGAAAGAGCAAGATGAGCATACAAAATAATAAAGGAACAAGAAAAAATGAAATTACAGCTTGGAAAGGACTGGGAATGCAACAAAATACTGTCAAGAATTTTTGGCACCAGCAACACCAAGTGGGATGAACTACAGCAGTTAATCCTGCTCCCACCCATCTCACTTCCTCATGTTTCTGGGTTATGGAGCCCCAGTTCTTACCCTGCTTCTTTTATGTATTTCAGAACCATGGTCCAACCAAGTATGGTACTCGACACAACTATTTCTAGGGATCAACATGTACTGGATCCCAACGGAAATGAAAACGTTTTGTCAGATATAAAGACTTTGCCTGTAAAGAGCCAGGAAACAAGCACATTTTCTAAGAGGAGTGCAAGCCCTGCTACTGTGAAAGCTTTAGCTGTGGCATTGATTTGGGTCCCAGCATAGGCCACAAAGTTCTTGGCCTTGCTGCATGGAGCAAGAGAAGGACCTGGACGGGGGCTGAACACCATCCTGCAACACGAAAGGAATGAAAGTAAGTTCTCGTTACACATCACACTTCAACCTGCAGGGTATGTCCTTATTCCTCCACCCTCTGTTTTGTTACCTAGTTAAAATGCCATGGGATATAAGAAAGAGAAGCTAACTCTGTTCTGGGAACATCTTCCCTGCTAAGACTAAAATTGTCAGCTGCGCTCTAGCCCAGGGTGTTTCCTGAAGGAGTCCTCCCAGGGAAGCAAAAGCAGAGATTCATCTTGTCCTCAGTTCTAGATAGCATTCAGCTCAAGTAACCGCAAACTGATTTCATGTTAATATTGTGACTCACTGCACAGTGACAGACTCGGTCTTTGGAATGGAAGTACTCTGTGACTATGGTAAATAAAGATAGCTGCTGAGCATTATGGTCTCCTTTACTGGGAGGTGAAAGCCTCTCCCTTTGGAACAACAGTGAGGAGAGATAAAAATGAGGTTAAAAATGCTAATGTATTTTATTCATTTTGGTAAATATTTTTTCCCCATTTGCTCAGGTTTGTTCTGTCAGGTCAGCCGGGTCACAGTCCTTATTATCAAGTCAAAAGTATGCACAGGGAGGGTGGGAAGATATATTTTACTTTGTGCTGCTTTTCACAGGAGTTTTTGGCATGGCAAAGTTTGGGGTTGTTTTTTTAATCACGATCTGCTGGTTCTGCATGTGATCAAATATCATGCAGTGAATGTATAGCTCTGTGAATACCACTGATATCCAAAGCAAAAAAAAAAAATAATCCTATTTGGCACTCCACTCCAGAAGCAAGCAAGCTACGTCTTTGAACAATGAGCGCTTGTTCACTTGTGATTATCAACATCCCTTCTGATGCATGCCAGGCAGAGCATTTCAACTCAGCCTCCCGGGTCAGCGAGCTCGAGGTATGTTTTTCAAGTCTGTATGTACCTAAGGCTTAGGTGTAGCAACGTAGTGAGCTGTTCTACCTGATTCTTCCATTCTTGCTGTCGAGCAAAACTGACAGTCATGGTATCCATTGCATACCTAATGCATTCTACATGCAACAGATGGTCCAAGAGTATCGGCACACCGAGATCTGACTGTTGAGGTCTGCCAGGCAAAATACGCCCTCAACCTCATCTCTCTGCAGCTCTCCTTTACTCTCCTTTTTTGCTTTGCTCAGCTGAGAAGCCTTTCCTGGAGTTAGGGCTGGCATAAGCTCTTCCTCACCAAATACAGTAAGCAGGATGCAGCCACCTTTTAGCTAGAGCTGGCATTAGAGCAAGAAAACCAGAGTTCCTCTCCTTTTCCTGCCAGAGGGGCTTTCAGCTTGCCTCTCCCTCTTTCCTGGCATGCTGGCCCCCCGGGGACAAGCAAGGCAGGCTCTGCTTACCCCCTGCCAGCCGTGCTCGCGAAGAGCCCAATTCAGCACATGTACGTTCTGGGACCGGCTGTCACGTTAGGCCTTTGGCTGAGAAATGCCATGGGCACGGGCTCATGGGGCTGCTGAGCTTCCTGCCACCGTTGCTCAAGCCGTGCTCGCGAAGAGCCCAATTCAGCACATGTACGTTCTGGGACCGGCTGTCACGTTAGGCCTTTGGCTGAGAAATGCCATGGGCACGGGCTCATGGGGCTGCTGAGCTTCCTGCCACCGTTGCTCACCCAGGCCAGAACCAAGGGATCCCCGAGCCGTGGCTTTTGAGGAGCTCGGACTGATGGTACCAAACCCAGGAGTCGGCAGCCCAAGCTCAGTGGTGGCTCTTGCACGTGCCAGCCCGGCTCACAGGTGTCCAAGCAGCTTTGTACGGGCAGAAGGAAAACCTGAAACTCCAGGAAGAGCCTCGCC